TTCATATTTTCGTTGGTCGTTCGGAATCCTACTTCATCTTGTTTTTTTAAATTTTTTATGTTCTTGTTTGTGTTGATTTTTTAAAATAATATTTATAGTATTTCTTTAGCTGCAATTGTGATACTTGTTGATTTTACACAAACAATAATTTTCTTTATTATTATTATCATTGTTATAACATTTATGAGAGACAGCATTGAATAGATATGGTGAAGGAAAATCAACTATACTGATGACAAGTGAAACTAATACTAGTCTTGACACAAGTCCTTGTTCAAGAATCTGTGAGCTAAGAGTGTCCATCTTCCCTGCTATTCCTGTTCTTCCAGGCTGTTGTCAAGTTCATAATTATCATTGCATATCATAAGTCATAACATTAATTAATTGTTTGTTTTTTAAAATAAAATAAAATAAAACACTTGATAAAACAGTAACATGTAAAATCAATACCTTCTTTTAGCTGGAAACCTCCACTAAAGTATTGCAGTACGTTGATTCCAAGCATAGCTTGGTAAAAATAAATTGCTTCTTCCAGAGCTGCAGATCTGAGCATGCGCGACCACACCCAAATTTTGGAGTACATGGCCAGCTTCTTTAATTAACAAAATGGCGGCATGTAGCTAAGATGGCTCGATCCAGCAGTCACAGTATCACTTTTTCCTTACTTGAAGAATGATCTGATGGGACATGGACCTGCGCATAGACTGTTGGAGTAGATTGGTGTAAGAATTATTCTTGTAGCACCAACTGATACTGAGATACACACCGACAACTGGATTGACAGGACTTGATGATGAAGATGATGAAGATGAAAAAAGGTGGCTGAACAAAACGGCCAGTTCGCCGATTTTTGACTTTTCGCTTAGACAAGGTCTAGAGCCACGCTAGTTGTACCATTGGAGTCCTCTGGTCAAGATAAGGTCCTCTATAAAGTCTGGTAAGCATAGGAGCTCGTTTTCCCGGTATAGCAAGGCTGCAAAAGTCGTGGCAGCCATTTTGTTTGGGGGTGAATCCTACTTAGTAACGCTACCGCGTTACTAATAAATAATTAATAATGTCATCAACTTTCACATCTCAAGACATATTCACACAATTGATAAAAAGAAACTCACCATTAGATAGATTATAAAGTAACTGTTCATTAGCAACAACACGTCCATCCTTAAGCTGATCATATTGAAACTGAGGATGTTTGACAGCTGGTGTAGTACCTATCCCTCCAACCATAAAAAGATAGTCAGTTCCTTCAAATTCCAGTGATAGCATTCCACCATAGGCTTTCTTCATCCTGGACTCATCATTAGGATGCAATTGAGTCCAGCTCATGGTCAGTGTATTCAGTACATTTAAACTGTTGTGGTAACACTGATCATGACCACAATAGCCAGCATAATAATAAATATTAGAACGAAAGGTGGTACAGGAGTAGCCAATGACTCCTAATGGAGGAGTGCCTCTTGTTAGGTGAGAGGACCAGCGAGCTGATGAAAAGGAAAATGTCTCAACTGTTGAGGTCAGTTTCCTCTTTTGAAGTGAATCGTGTACTAGAGGTAAATCAAGCTGGTTCCCTGCCCACAGGTAGAGTGACCCTCCTATTACTGGAGCTGAGTGAGTAGTTCTACCTTTAAACTTATAAATACCTGTAAAGGAAAGAGAATAGAAGGAAAAGAATATAAAAGAGAGGGAAAGAAACTAACTTTGTCCAGACATTATCGCAATCAAAACAAAAGGGTGTGGTGAAAAGGCGTGGTCTATTCACCACGCCCATTTTGCTCACAGCCTCACACCCATCGCTGAAGCAGTGATTCACTACTAGCCGCGAGACTAATTCACTACAGCCTGAGTCTACAGTTAGTTACAGGTATTTCTCTGTAGTCTCCTTTCTTCCTCCTACAGCTGACCTTGTCTATTAGTTAAAGGTAAGAACTGAGCTCTGGCCCCTTTTATCATTATGAATATCCACCAAACCACCAACCAACCCTCTTATGTCTTCCATCTCTCCCCTCAGATTAAAACCATGTCTAGTGAAAATGAAGAGAAGACTCCAATAGTCCAATCAGTAGAGTCTCCCCCTCTACTAGAAGATATCAAAGAGGAAGGTGGAGGGAGAGAGGGAGAACATGAGCTGATGTCCGAGGGTAGTCCAGGGGGCGATTCATCAGTTGTTGCATCCCCTGGTAGTGTTTTGGAAGGAGAGAATCATCTATTAAAGATGCTTGAGGAGCAGAATAGGTTAGTTTAGTAAACTCTAGTGTCAAATGGATAACAATGGTTAATGACTATGTGTTATTCCCATTGGTACACCTGCAGAATTGTAATGTTTTATTTTCATATTCCTGGAGCCATTTTTAAAAAATACCAAACCATAAATTTTAGTCATACCATTATCATATTTCAGGACCAGGGTGTCTTTATTATAAAGGGGCACTGTATGTGTCGTTAGAAATTGATACACATGTACATGTACATTGCACTTGATGTGTATTCTTGTGGTGGACATCTCCCACTGGATAATTTTTAATTGATGGTCCAACAAAGTACAATTTCTGGCACAGATGCCATTCTGTGTGAGAATGCCAATGAGAAAGATTATCAAAAAATGATAATTAAATTGTTATTATTATTATCATCATCATTATTATTATTAAAGCAATTAAAATGCTGAAATTACATATAGTACATGTAGATGCAATTAAAAGCAGATTTAAATTCTTTATTAGCTGCTATGGTAATTCATGTATTTTAAATATACATGTACATGCACATGTATACATGTATACTGAATATGTACATGCATACTGTATTTCTGTTCTTAGGATGTTGGAATCTGATTCTCGATATCATCAAAACATAAATGGCTCACCAACCAAACCGTGTGTTGGAGAGTTGGAGCAGAAGGAGAGTGGAGGAGGGAAAAAGGACAAGAAAGAGAAAGAGAAGAAGAAGGAGAAGGAGACTGAAAAGGCTAAAGACAAAAAGGAGAAAGAGCCCGAGAAGATGAAGGAGAGTAAAGAAGAGAAGAAGGAGAGGAAAGAGGCGGAGAGGAAGGAGAGAAAAGCCGAGAAAAAAGAAAGAAAAGAATCTCTTAGAAAAGAGAAGAAGGATTACGAGAAAAAAGATAAGAAAGATAAAAAGTCGACTGAGAGCGAGAGAGAGAAGTCGCCGGGTTCAGCAGCAGCTACTCCTGTTGAGGTGACTCCTTCAATAACTTCAACTGAAGACAGACACTCTATTTCTGACTCTGGATCAGAGATTAACTCTGTGACGTCTCGTTCGAATGAAGACGAAAGAATATTAATGTATGTACATGTATACATGAATATTGAGAGAAAGAGAGAGGGAGGGAGGGAGAGAGAGAGAGATGAGGAAAGTTAGAGAAAGAGAAAGAAAGAAGATGAGGTTGTCATAATAGTATTGATCTACATGTAATTTTCTAAATATCACTACTGTAGGTACATGTACATATACACTGTACATGTACTTGCAATATGTACATGTACAATTATACATTCAAGTTTATGCATACATACATGTACATGTATATGCAATATGTACATGTACATGTACTGTACATGCACTAGTATGGTATCTGTGTATGTAGACTTGTATACGAGATCTTTACACTTGATTATTAATAGTAATTATCGTCTGAATGCATTGGCCAATGCACATTGTGTAAACACCAAAATATACTTTTACTTTTCATTTTATTCTCTTCTCCCCCTCCTCCTCCTCTTCTAGAGTTTGGAGTGACGTCATGAAGAACTGGGAAGAAATATCTAGAAAGAACTTTAAATTTATTCGGTCACTCGTTTTACGAGGGATCCCTGGGCCAATGAGAGGGATGGCATGGCAGCTGCTAGCAGGAGCACAAACCATGACACTAAAGACACAATACCCTTCACTAATAACAGTATGAAACCATTAAATAATGGAGGATTAATAGGAGAGAGAGAGAGAGAGGAAGAGAGAAAGGGAGGGAGAAGGAGATTTTGTGATATAAATTAATATGCTAGTGAAATTAGTTATTATTTGGTTCACTTATCTTTTTATTTATTTTTTGCTTTTTGTAGGAGAATTCTCCTTTTGAGAAACCAATACAAAGAGACCTGC